CAGTACCCCATAGGGTCCCGGAGCCCCACCAGGAGTGATCCCTGAGCCAGAAGTATGCCCTGAGCACAACCAGGTGTGGTGCCAAAGCAAACAAGCAAAAAGCCCTGGACTCCCAGCAGGGCTAGGACCAGGCTCTCAGCAAGCCGCATGCAGAGCCCCACTCCATCCCTTGAACCCCAGATCTCTCCAGGTCCAGGTGTATCCAGAGGCCTCAGGCTGAGCACAGCCCAGGTGACTAGAAATCCTGACACCATGGGGACTGAGCCACACATCACAGCAGCAGTCAGTGACCTCTCCAATAATCCCACCCAGTGAGCGAGTAGTAACCGGAAATTTATATCCAGCCTGTACCTGCCTCATCACCTTTAATCCGAGGAGCCCCTCCCCACCAGGGTTGGCGTTTCCCCCATTACCCTGGAAAACTCCCATCAAGTCATTCGCCCAAAGGCAAGCGAGGAGCACAGGTGGGGGGATTTGATTCACACCCCACCCAGCTGATCCAGCCCTTTCACCTACAGGAGATCGGTCCTGGCTGCCCGAAACCTGAAATAAAAGTGATCTCCACCTTACAAATAAATCAGGGCACTGGGGTCAGCGAGATGGCACTGCTTGTGGGACACTTGCCTTGCCTTACAGCTGCCTGGTTCTCTCCCCGCATCCCGTATTCTTCCCCCAGTCCAGATCAAGGACTGAGCACACAGTCGGCCCCCAGAAATAACAAAAATGAAAAATAAACGGGAGGCATGAAACTGGCTTTGTTGAGCACAGGGAAAATTCCTCTCTCCTCCTTGGCAGCCGTGTGGGGACCCCCTGCGGCCCCCACCCTGCTGGAGTGCTGCCTTGCATGTCTGGGAGGTTGCGGGCAATCGGAGAGTCAAGCAGCCGCCCCGGACTCAGAGCTGGTGGATGAGGCTGTTCGTAGACGTAGCAGAGCCAGTCTAGGCCCACCAGCCATCTTGGGCTCTGCTGCCTCCCCCGGGGTTCTGCGGCTCCCTCTACAATCTGGGGTGGCGCTGGCCCCCCAGGGCATCTGCCCTCACCTACACATGAGGTTGGCAACTGACCTCCCCGGGACTTCTGTGACCTGGTACACCCCAGCCCTGCCGGGGACAATCCTGGAGTCCCACCATCTCTCCCAGGGCCCAGAGCCAGCAGCCCCAAGGGTTGTGATGTCAGCCGACCTCCCTGGGGAAATTAAAGCCTGGTATTCCTATAAGCCCTTCTGGGAAGTAATTCCAATAACAAAGAAATGCTGGCAGGGGAGGGGGAGAGGGGGGTTGGAGGGAGTTGGTTTGTGGCCACATCCGCTGCTACCTCTAAGAAATGGGATGAGTGGTGAGTCCCAGTCAGCCCGCCCCCACGTCCCCCGACCTGGTCTGAGCCAAAGCACAGGGTCTAAGCTGGAGGGGTGACCGCTCCCCGCAGATGGTGACAACCTGGAGGCAGAGAGTAAAAGCAACCAGATCCTGCTGGCTGGCATCCAGCCAGAGCCACTCGGCTCCAAGCTTGACCTCGCCCCACCTCTGGACTTTCCAGTTTCAGGAGCCAAAACCCTCCCTCCTTGTCCAGGCCACTTTGAAATGGGTTTTCTGTTACCTGCTGCAGGAAACACGCACCCTCCCAGAGGCTCCCTGCGGAGTTGCCCTGAGCTGCTCCAGGGGGAAGGAGCAAAGGGGCCGACCCCTGGGGGGCTCACTCCCGGGTGACTTGGTCAAAGCAAGCAGCCGTGGAATCCTGCGTAAACACCACCTGGGGTGTGTGGGGTCGAAACGCCTGACCGCACAAGCATGCCTGTTTTCTGGACAGGACTGGAGGGACGATGCGGCAGGGGCAGGAGACAGTTTTCGCTTTGCTGTCTACGTTCTGATGAGTTTGTCACTCGTGCGTAGGCTGGTTCAAATGTCGCTCGAGGTGATAGGATTAGATCTGAAGGAAGGTGAGACTATTTCGGCCATCTGGAGCCTCGTGTTTGAAGCTCCCGGTGAAGAGAAGACGAGGAGGCTTGGAGGAACTGAGTAAAGGCCGACACAGTGCCCCTTCTCATCCTCCTCTTCCTCATCCTCCTCTCCCTCCTGGGCGCCGGCCACTGAAGCACAGCAGGCACCACTTGAGAGGGTCCTCGGGCCTCCTCCCCAAGTCACTCCACTTCTCAAGGGCCTACTTCTGACTTCCCAGAATGTGTTTGGGAAACGGCCACGGGTTCACGGTGGCCTCCGAGGAGATGCCAGGGCCGGCCACTGAGAATGGGGCAAAGCCCTGAAGGTTCTTTGGAGAGGGGACGTCTCTGGATCAGAAGAGGCACCATCTGCCCCCCAGGCCCCAGGCACGGACACTCCTCCACCACCATCCGCTGCCAGGGACAAGTGACCAGTTTGGGGATAACCGAGAAGCCCCGGGGCTCTGAACACTGATACTGCAAGTGACCCGAGACCTGGACAGGGCCAGCATGAAGCTAGAGCTGAGGGTGAGCCCTGGGAGACACCCAGGCTGGGAGTTCTGGGAGTGAGGGAGGCACAGGAGGCTGGCCAGGGCAATGCAGCTTTACAACCCCTGCTCTCAGGATGCTGGCCGAGATGACCAGCTGGTCTCGCTGTAGAGACGGAGGCCCTTCTGTCTTTTCAGGAGCCCCCTAAGACCCTCCCTCCCCCCTACCGAGCCCCCTCCAGAGCACCCCCCTGCCATGTCATAGCTGTGGAGCAGCTGGGAGAAGGCCGCATCCACTGGCCTGCTGGGCACAGAAGGACAGCCCTACTGCCCAGAGCCATCTGAGTAACGCATGCTGAGCACCCGGGATCCACGCCACATTCTCCGAGACCCCAAACCTGGGGACATGACGCCACGTTCTTCCGCTGACTCCATCCTGATCTCAGTCCTCTGGGCAACATGCAGGAAAGCCCTGGCATCCCAGGGCATCCTGGGTGCTGGTGTCCAGGCCCTGCTCTGCCCAGTGACTCTCCTTTCTCCGAGTCTCTGGTTTAGGGTGCAAACACGGCTCCCCTGAGGCTGGCCAGGGAGAGAGCTGACAGGCTGTGAGGGCCTCTGGGGAAAGTCAGAGGAAGGTGCTAGGGTCACTCGGCAGACACAGTCATGCGAGGCCACTGCTAGCAGGCCGTGGGGGAAGAGTGGACAGGCCTGGGCTCACAGGGTGTGGGAGCACTCAGGACCTGCAGGGACTGGGCTGGGGAACCCAGGGGTGACCCAACAAGCCAGAGGTCACCCCCAGTCCCCACCCATCTGAGGGCCAGAGGGTGGGGGCTTGGGCAGGGAGTGTCTGTGCAGGGAGGAAGGCAGGGGGGTGGGTGCACTGGACACCCCTAATCCTGGTGACCTCTTCTGTCCTCAGCCAGCAACTCAGTCAGCTGAGACAGCTGAAAAGGGGTCCAAAGGTTCTGGAAGCTCGCTGGAAAACAAACCCGACTCTGGAGAAGTCCCAGCTCAACTCCTCCCTCGAGGGAAGAGAGGCAGGCAGGGGTGCGGCCACCTCGTTCAGCAGGCAAGCGGGCAGGCAGGGTCAGGGGAGCAGGCAATGTGTCACTGCCACCGGGACACAGCGCACAGCCCCTCAGCCTGGATTTCACTGCGGGGCTGGACAGGGATGAAGAACAGGACTCCCTCGGGCATGCAAAGTGCCCACTGCCCAGCATCGTCCAGTCCACCATGGCTGTGTCCGACACCACCAGGACAAAGGACAAGTGGCCCAGAGACTCGCAGGGTCCAACAGCCACTCGGTGAGACATTCCCAAGCGTGCCCATGGGGGGCGGCCCTATTGACCCCACTCGGAGCCCAGACCCACCCTGGCCTCAGCACCCAGGACACCATGAGAATCTTGACACCATCTCACGCCACCCCGAAGGAAAGGGACCAAACAACAGCATTCGTATAAAGATATATTCCATAAAAGAGTTTGGCAGTCAAAGAAAAGCATCACACTTCCTAAAAACACGAGCATTCTTCTTCCCCTAAGTCTACAGAGAAAAAAAAAAAAAGGTCTTAAAAATCATTAACGACAGCGTCAACAGACACCCACTAGCACACACCGCACGAGAACGTACACGTGGGCGAGTCGGCGAAGGTAGCGCTCGATCCCTGAACGAGGACAGACCGGGGGGCGGAGGGGGGGGGCTGACGAGACCCTGGAAAGCAGGAGGAGGAGGAGGACGGCCCGGCAACAGACAGGCGGCCCCTGCAGGCGGGTCAGTTCCCAGGACAACTTCATTTCCAAGAGCAGCCCTGGGGAGGGGTGGGGAGGGGAGGGGGCACACGGGTGGGGACTGGGCAGAGGAGGGGCATCCCCATGAGTGACCCGAGGCCCTGGAGCTTCTGCAGGGCTGCAGGCAGGGTCTGCAGAGGGTCAGGGCTCACGTCCCAGGGACAGTTTCAGTAGCACCACGACCGGAAGACAGTGAGGCCGAGAGAGGGAACGAGGTGAACATGTGCTGGGGGTGCACGGGGGGGGGGGGGGGGGGATTGGGGGGGAGGGGTAGCCTCAGGGGCAGTGAGGGGGAGGGCTGGAGCCCCGGACACGAGTAAGGCCGTGAGAGAAGAATACCAGGGGGCAGAGGGAGAGATGGTGTGCCCACATTTCTTACCCTATAAATAAACCATTTATACACTTCAAGAAAAGGAGAGCCGGCTCTCAGCGAAAAAACCCAGCCCGCGGCACCTGGGCACCCTGCCGCCAGGCCGGAGGCGGCGAGGCCCTGGGCACAGCGGGCGAGGGCTCCCGTGGCACCAGTCCACGCGCCGGCTCATCCCTCCCTGGGGACGTGGCTCATGCCGCCTGGCCCAGCGACAGGCAGCACCGCTGAGCCCACAGCCGCTCATGGGCGCGGCTGGCGCAAGGGAGAGCGGGAGGCGGCCTGGGCCCCTGCAGGCACGTGGGCTCCGGGACACAGCTGTCTAGCCCCTGCTGGGCGCGCAAGTGCCCATCCGTCCCTCAGAGTGAGTCGCCAGCCCCGCAGACACAGTCTCTGGCCCGGGTGGGCCCGCAGGGGGTCTGTCTCAGAGGCGGAGGCTAGCGGGAACCCGGGCCCCGTTGTGCGGCAGGAGGGGCGCGGGCCCGGCACGCAGAGTCAGGAAGGGGCGGCCACGGCCAGGGCCATCACCACCCATGGCTCAGCTCCGCTAGCTCCGGCCGCCTCAGAAGTGGTGGCCCGCCTTCACCGCCTCGATGTCGGAGATGAGCGTCCGCGCCAAGAAGATGCCGAATATCTGCAACCAAGGGGGCGGCCACGCGTGAGGGCTCAAGGCATGTGCTCCGGGGACCCCTCCCTGTACCTACCCCAGATCCCCAGGGGCGAGCGCCTGACAGAGGGTGCGGGCGGGGCAGCCTTGGGACTCTGGCTTTCCTGCCTGGGCCGCCGGCACTGGGATTTGCTGTCCGTGCCCCCGCCAGCCCGCTCTGCTCGGAGGCGTTCTCTAGATCTGGTGCCTCGCTGCCTTCCTCGAGACCAGCCTGTGCACGCTCGCCGAGCAGAGGCAGGAAGTGCCCCCCGCCTGCCCCCCGGCCCTGGGCCCCTGGCTGAGGTAACAGGCGAGTTCCAGGGGCTGGAGAGAGAGCAGGTGGGGAGGGCGCTTTGCCTGGCAGGCAGCTGGCCCAGGTTCGATCCCCCGACGCCCCATCTGGTCCCCCGAGCACCACCAGGGCTGACTGCAGAGCCAGGAGTAACAGGCACTGCCGGGGTGGCAAAACAAAACCATACAGACGATGGGAAGGGGGGTGGGGGGAGGACCCGCACCTGCAGCAGCGAGATGGCGATGAAGACCCCGGCCACGATGTAGATGTTGCGCGGGAGCCAGCCCTCCAGCGCCTGGATGCAGCCTTTCGTGAAGATGAACTCGTCCCACTTGCTCTTCGCCTGTGCGGGAACCACCACAGCAGCCTGAGCTCGGGCGGGCAAGACAGTCATAACCCCCCCCCCCAACACACAGAGACACACACAGACACACACAGACACACACACACCCCAAACACACCCCCGTGCCCCAGAGAGCACCTGCAGTGGGCCGGGCAGAGCCCGCAGGGAACAAGGTAACTGGGAAGTCGGCAAGGGGGATGGGCAGAACTTTCCAGAACTTTCTACACATCTCCGTGAAGTCGACCCAGCCTTCCCTTCGAGCCCTGGTGTCTGCCCTCAGAGTGGAAGAGCCCTGGGCGCTGAAGCCTCCGCAGCCAGAACCGAGGACACACACAGAACTCACAGAGCTGCCCACGGGGCACCCGTGACACAGAGGTCACTGCAGTCAAGCAGTGAGGCAGCTTCCAAATTCGGGCTCTGCACCCCAGCCTAGAGCCCACAGACCACACGAGGGGCATCTGTCGGTCCCCTGGGGCCCAGAGCAGAGCGGGCACTGGGCTGGGCACCTGCTCTGCTCACTCACAAGTGCTCCAGTGGCACTGGGGAGAGGCAGCCCGGCGCCCGTGCCCCCTCGCCACTGTGCCCACAGCTCAGCCCACAGCTCAGCATCACACTTTCCAGGGTTCCACGCGCCTCCAAAGAAGGTCTGCTCGGGTCCCACCCCCAGCACCACAAACGGAAGTGAAATGGACGGGCATTCACTGTCCTCCCTAAGGCGGTCTGGTCTCTTCCCGCTAAAGCAGCCACCGCAGGGCTTTGAGGCCACAACTCCCGGGGCTAGGCGAAGGGGGGATGGGAGGGGGGTGGGGTGAGCAGGGCTGGCCAGCCGTGGGGCTGGCGTGAGCGGCACCCACAGGCTCTGTGGCCCCTCGAGCTCTGGAAGCCGCGTGCCCGGGCTCCTCACCTGGGCCCTGACGTCGTAGCCGCACTGGGTGTTCACGACCTTTTGCTGCAAGAAAAGCAGACGGGAAGGGGAGGGCATGTCACTTCTCTGGAGAAGCCCGTGGGAGGACGCTTCTAGGAAAGTGGGCCCCAAACACCCAAACACCCGGCAGCACCCCGGCACTCGTCAGCCTCAGTCGCAGACGGCCGGTGGCCGGCAGCCGGCAGCCGTGTCCACTCCCGGTGGACGGAGGCCTGCTCAGGCCCAATCCACACAGACTCTCAGTTCTCCCTCCCATCCAGCCCAACCCAGCAGCCCAATTCTGGGACACAAGCCCCGACCCTGGGCTGGGAGTGACCACAGGTGCAGGACAGAGGACAGAAAGTGACCACAGACATGGGGTACGCCCCACTAAATGGGGACACGCCCTCGCTGCCCCCATGGACAGACGATCAAGCTGTGAAGTCTGGTCCAAACCCCCACCCCCACCCCCCAAAACTGGTCTCTCCCAGGGTGCCCGTGAAGATGGGGCCAACGGAAGCACGTTCCTGGGGGTCTCAGGTACAGGAGCCAGAGCCGTGGCTGGGGGGTGGGGGGTGGGGGAGAGGAGGAGAGCGATGCTGTCCCTCCAGCGGGGAGACAGCCGGCGAACGGGCAGGGTCGAGGGAGTCGGGGGACGCACCGCGGGGTCGGGCACGCAGCAGGAGAAGGGCACCCCACACTTCTCGCGGCTGTAGCTGGCGCCGCTGCAGTTGAAGTAGACATTGAGGTCCCAGTCTTCAGGGCCGTACGCCCCGCAGCACTGGTTCTGCAATCGCAAAGCCAAGCCGAGGACATGGGAAAGTGCCGGCAAGCAGGGGACCCTCCCGGGAGCCCCACAACCGGTGCCCACTGTGCCTAGCTCATTTCAACCCTGTGCAAACACACGAGCTCTGCTCACCTCTGGCCACTCCCCAGACCCCGGCAGCCCAGTGGACACGGAATTAAGGGCAGACACATTTCTGGTTAACAAGGCCAGCAGGTCACAGTTATTTTTAATGCTCCCTCATTTGTTTTCTTTTAGATCAAAGGTTCATGCAGAAGCTGGGTTTGCGGGCGGAACAGCCCCAGCAGCTGGACCGGCCTTGGTGGGGTGGGTCCTCCCTGGGGATTCTGGGGGGGGAAGCAGCTGCGGTCCTAGGCTCCAGGTGCAGCCCCGAACATGCATGTGCGAGGCTGGGGGGGTGGGCGGGTTGGGGGTGCGAGGGGGGCGTCGAGGCCATGCATGAGCCACTGTTCGGACAGACCCAGGGACCGTGCAGGGGAGGTCACATCCCACTCCTTGGCAGGAAGTGCCCTCCAGGCAGCTCTGCCCGAGTGCACAGGAAGGGGAAGGGGGCAGGAAGGACAGGAATAGCCTCCGACGGTGAGTCATGAGTCACGCACTGCTGAGGGGAAGCGCTCCTGAACCACAGCGCCCAGGGCAGTGGGGGAAGGGGTCAGGGTAAGGGGAACCCCCCCCCCGGGGGGGGGGGAACCCTCATGGCAGTGCTTACGGCCTTCTGCAGGGAGTCGATCAGGTTCTGCAGGTCGATGTCGTCCCGGTAGGAGCGGATGTTGCTCTCGAAGAACTCCCGGAAGCGGTCCCTCACCCAGTCCTGGAAGAGGAAGGCCAGCACGGCCACCGCCAGCTCCAGGAAGAAGATGAGCACGATGGCACTGCAGAACTGCAGGGACGGGGGGCAGCGCACGTGTCACCACGCAAGGCCAGCCCCCACGACGGGGGCCCCCCAGGCTCCAGCTCCTGCACTACCCCCCCCCCCCCGCCTCCCAGCCAGCCTTCCCACAAAGCCCCCTTGTCCTCCACTGCAAGGGCAAGCAGACTACAGTACACCGTGTGTTAACGTGTGGGGGGGGGAGGGGAGGGGGGCACAGTCCATGCGGGGCTTGGCACAGCATCTCTGTAGGTGCCAACAGCCCTGGGCAGGGGCGTCTTCAGAAGACCCCACTGTCCTGCACTGCCAAGAGTGCGCTCAGTCATCACCGGCAGCCACCCAGGGAAACACACATGCACACACACGTGCATGCTCACAGAGAAGCACACGGCACACGTACATACACAGGCATGCAGACACATGCACCACATGCACATGTACACAGATGTGCATGCATACACACACACACACACACACACACACACTTGCCCACATGCACACACAGACCCTCCAAAGCACAACCTCCATTCACAGGAAAACAAGAGATTAAATGCAATTATTTTAAGTGTGTGTGGGGGGAGGGGGGTGATGGGGGGTGATAGGCAAAGAAAAACGGTGCTCTTAAGGCCGACAAAGAACAGATTTGATTTAATAAATTCAACAACAGCAACAAAAAAGACTGCAAGCCTCAATTATGTGCTCCCTCCACCAGGTGCTATTTAATTTTAACCGAACGCACCATTTCAAAAAGAAAGCCGTATCTAAATATAAAACTAAACTCCTAGTAACTCCAAGTCCTGCCAGGAAACCAAGAGCATCCAGCAGATTCACGCTCCCTGGAGCGGGAGACGCTTCCCGCTAGCTGGCAGCTGCTCTTGATTTTGGCCAAAAAGGCAGAAGGTGAGTAGCAAACAGGACTTGCAGGGCCGAAAAAGGCAGGTGACAGACAGTGGGGCCGGTCTGCAGGACACCCTTGGGGCTGAAAACCCAAACACCACCCCACCCTCCCACGGGCAGGGTGAAGAGCAAGCTCATCTGACTGGTCCCTGAAAATGAGACGTGTTGACTGGGCACCTCCAGGCCAGGCCACCATTCCTCCCATCCTCTCTCCAATCCCCCAAGCCAATCCGCCCTTCCCTCCTCCCTCCCATCCTCCCACCCACCCTCCCCCCCATCCTCCCTCCATCCTTCCTCCCATCCTCTCTCCATCCTTCCACTCACCCTCCCCCTTGTTCTCCCTCCCATCTTCCCACCCGCCCTCCCTCCATCCTCCCGCTCGCCCTCCCCCCGCGGCTGCAGCCTGCGTCTGGCCACACAACCCACCAGTCTGTCCCCGCTTCCCCCACCCCAGCCGCCCCTGGGGCCACTCACAAACTTGAGCAGGCAGATGTTCTCCCGCAGGGCCCCCACGCAGCCGGCGAAGCCCAGAGTGAACATCACCAGGCCCACCATCAGGACCAGCACCACAGGGTCGATGCCGTGCAGTCGGGTCACCTTGGTGAGGTCGGACAGCACCCCCTGAAGGAGGCAGAGAAAGCAGGGCAGCATCACCACAGAGGGGCCAGGGTGGGTGGGAGAACCGGGTGGGGTGAGGCCAGGGCCTCCCTCAAAGAGGCAGCTCAGGTGTGGCCCTTCCCCCCTGCTTCCCTCCCTGGCCCCTGATCAGCAGACCCTCCCCCTGGCCTCAAGCTTCTCCCAGACTGAGGCAGAGCTTCTCTGTAGGAAGGAAGCGAACACCAAGCCAGGGGTGCTGCGGGCAAGCCACTGTGAGCACCTAAACTGGGGTCAGTGGGACTGAAGAACTCGATTTTAATTCAACACAAACGGGCACGTATTCATGACAACCAAACTGGTCTGAAACGTTCTCGAGAGGAGGGAGAAAATTCCGGGAAGCTGAGCCTGGAGCCCAGAGAAACCTTCAGGGTTACTGCTGTTCCACGGGTGGCCACGCGGTGGCACTGTGAGTCGCACCTTGGTGGTCACTGGGACAAAAGACTATTTTGGCCTCAATAATTGCCCTTGAAGGGTTCACCTACAAGGGTTTACTCCAAACCTACAGTGGAGCCTTACCCAAGCCCAAGCACCCCGGCTTCCTGTATGCAAAGGAGAGGACTCCTGCAGTTCCCGGCTGAAGGAGCAGATACGCAGCTCAAGAGTGTCAGCTTCACTTCCCGCAGCTCTGTTGGGCGGCCTCTGGGCTGCTCGCCTCCCGCCAGGCAGCAGGAGCAGGCATGCACCTCCACCTTCCCCTGTCCCCACCCCAAGCTCCTGGGGTCCCAAGCCCCTCCAGGAAGTCACCCAGGGGCTCAGGCTAGGCCAGATCTGCCCCAGCCCAGCCCAGCCCTGAGTGTCCAGGAGACACATGCAGCACCTGTGTCCTGAGCCCAGCGGCCCTGTCTGTGGGAGCGGACAAGGGTTTTGTGCCCAGGACCTGTTTGCTGCCAAACCTCAGAGAGGGGCAGCTGGACCAAGCGACGGAAAGGCCGGGGCCGCTGGGAAACTGGGAGTTCCCCGAGTCCCAAACCCGATCCAACCCAGCCCTGGCCTGAGTTCCCAACCTCCACGGCAGGTGCAGAGCCTGGTACCGAGCAAAGGCCTGCAGGGACGGAGTGCCTAGGAGCCGTGTCTTCGCACTGCAAAAGGCATGTCAGGGTGTGGAGGGAGGGAGGGAGGGACGATGACAGCTGAGGAAATGAGCAGAGGGTCTGGCGACAGCTGTGCCTACCTTTTCGCTCCATGCCCACAGCCCGACTCCGAGGAAGACAACGCCAGCCAGCTGAGGAGGGGCGGGGGTGGGGGAGAGAGGGAGAGACACACGTTAGCTTGGAAGGCAACACTGCCAGCCTGATACAGGCCAGGCTGGGGGACAGGGGTGGGGGCTGGGCTCCTGCAGGAGACTGGGACTCCGCCGGACAAAGGCCCTGTGAAGCTGTTCTGAGCAGCCATCCCGGCGGCCTGGGGCAGCTCCTTGTCCAGATGCCCCAGCCCTGTGAGCAGAGGCCAAGATCTGGGTATAGAGAGCTTGCTGGAGGGATAAGGAGCCAGGGGGGCACAGACTGTCCCCTCCCCTAAGGTGCCCCCGGGTACACTGGAACACCAGGGCCCCCACAGCCCAGGAGCAACTCCAAGCACAGTCAGCAGCGACCCGGGCCAGAGGCCTCCTGTGTGCTCCCTGTCCGAGTCTCCCCAGGCCCCCTCCCCCAAACACAGACACGCAGGGGAGCACCGGGACAATGGCTCCATCCCCGACCCACCCCCCAACCCTGACCGCCCCTGACCTGGCCCCCAGTGACCTGGCCCCCAATGCACAGCACAGGTGCAGACACAGGGGGTGGTCCCGTCTCCCTCTGCTGCCTCAAGCCGCCCCCAAGCCTCCTGCTGAGCCCCTTGGAGGCTCACTGGCTCGGGGCTGCCTTGCATCCACGCCCCACCCAATGAAAGGCAAACAGTCGCTGTGACACTCCACTTTCCCCAGTGCGGCTCTGGCTTCCAACTCCTGCCTGCTTTTATCCGAGGGGGGCTAGGGGCAGGGCGCCGCAGTGGGTAGAAGGGTCACAGACCGCCCTGGACACAGGTGAGCACCCGACACCCATCCAGACTCCTTGCTGCTGGTGCCAGCGCAGTCTGTGGGCCCCAAGAGACAACGCCCCGCGGGACCCTCCCTCTGCTCTACAACAGGGGGCTTTGCAGGGGGCGGCGCGTGAGGGATTAAGGCCCAAGAGGCCAGAATCCAGTCTGGGTTGCTGATTCACTGACCAGCAGGTGGGCCTGCCTGGCCACCAGGCAGAGCCCATGTTCCCTGCAGTCACCGAGCGAACCCTCCGGCTGCCCCATCTCGGTCCCTGCCTCCCTTTCACCCCCTCGAGGTCTCTGCTGGTCCTGTCGGCAGGACAAGGCCTGGAAGGCACTTCTGGGGACCACAAGCACCGACTGCAGCAAAGACACCGTGTGACCCAGCCCCAGTGCCCCCCACCCTCCCCGAGGCTCCTGGCACCCAGTCTGTGCCAAACAAGCTCCTGCCGTCCAGCGGCCTCTTGCTTGGGGCAGCGGCGAAGCAGGCTCTGGAGAAACGCCTCCGCAGGCCAGGCAGGCGAGGAAGGCGGGCAGGGGGGAGGAGCAGGAGGAGCACGGAGCCTCCGCTCCTCCCTGAACACAGTGGAGAGCAGGGAACGCCCCTTCCAAAGCCACCAGCCTGGGGGAGGGGGGGGGCGGGGAAGGTCAGAGGCGGGCAGCCTCCTCTTCTCTGGGAGGGAAGGAAGGCCAGAGTCCAGTCTCCGGGCTGGGGGCCAGCAGGAAGGTGCCCCCCGCGGGGGGCAGGGTCACGCCGCTATCACACACCAGCTTTTCCTCCCGCCGGATGGGCGGCTCGGAAACAGCACATGTGCCCTTCCCAGCAGTGCCGGAGAAGCCCAGGCCCCCAGGAGCACGGCCTGGCGCTTCCCAGGGGCCTCCAGGGCGGCCGTCCGTGGCTGGCTGTGCACCCTGATAAGGGGGCCCCACCCCGCCCTGCCCCGCCCAGGACCTTGGCTGTGTCAAGGCCCGAGAAAGGCAGGCGGAGTGGAGGTGCAGATTCATCCCAGGGAGGTCACAGCAGCTCCCAGCGCCCCGAGAGAGGCAACCCCACGCCACGCCACGCCCCGAGCTGCCCTGGCGGGCACAGCTCAACGACTTGCACTGGGAAACCAAGAACCTCAGCTGACATGCAAGGGCCCACGGGGCCGGAGATAATAATTACCCGCAGCATTACGTGCCAGACGGTCTCTCCCGACTGCTCGGTGCGTTTCGAGCTGAACAGCCAGAGCAAGTAGGTGACCCGACGGCGCAGGCCTGCATTCCTGTGCGACCGTATAGGCAGAAACAGGCAGAGGGCCAGGCACCGCCTGCAAACCGTGGCCTGCCAACTACTCAACTATGGCAGCAACGCCATCTGGTCTTTAGAGACAATGGGCAGCGTTCTCCTTCAGGACCCCTGGAACAATCCCCCTCATCCAGGCCCCTAGGCTGCTGGTCTTAATGGCCTTGCTTTGTAAATAACCCAAATGACACATGGGTGAGAACATGACACAGCAATGCAAGGGAATGTGACACAACAGGAAGAGCTGAGTGGCCACACACCAGCAGGAGTCACTCACACACACAACACACACCACACACACACACACACACACACACACACACACACGAGAGATGTCAGGCACAGGAAGAACTGCGGATGGAAAGCTGAGTTGCTCCCTGGACGGAGGCCCCGCTCCCAGTGGGCTGTGTCTGAGGTGGGCCCTGGAGGAGGTTCTCAGGGTCAGACAAGGCCAGGAGGGGTTTCGGTGATTAGCACCCTCAGAGGAGGAAGAGACAAGAAGCCCCCACCCCAAGCCCACAAACGGGCTCCTCGGGGCACCCTCACCTCACTTCTAGCCCCGAGATATGCTAATCGAGTCGCTCATTCTTGTTGTGTAAGTCACTCAGTCACTCGGTGACAATTCGCTTCGGCAGCCTGGGATGACCAAAACAGGAAGAATACTTCGCTGGAAAACTGTCTGCATCTACCCAAAAGTAACTTAGCTAGGCAAAAAAGGAGGAAAATGTGACTGATAACAAGAGGGGGAGAAAGGTAGATAAGAACACAGGAAACACACAAAGAGGCGAGAACTAGCAGCAGCTGTCAAATGCTACCAATGTGCTCAGAGACTTAAAGAAAAATGAAACAGAAAAATTAAAGCTGATCCAATTAAGCACTGCACTGTAGCACTGTCCTCCCACTGTTCATCGATTTGCTCGAGCGGACACCAGTAACGTCTCACAGCAGATTGTGAGACTTGTTGTTACTGTGTTTGGCACATCGAATACGACACAGAGAGCTTTCCAGGCTTTGCCGTGCGGGCAAGACACTCTCGGTAGCTTGCTGGGCTCCAATTAAAACTAATAAAAAATACATTAAAAATGAATTCACGAGCTGGAGCGATAGCACAGCACGTAGGGCGTTTGCCCTGCATGCGGCCAACCTGGGTTCGATCCCCGGCATCCCATATGGTCTCCCAAGCACCACCAGGAGTAATTCCTGAGTGCAAAGCCAGGAGTAAACCCTGAGCATTGCTGGGTGTGACCCAAAAAGCAAAAAAAAAAAAAAAAATGAATTCACTTATCCTTATTATAATACTTATAGATGTAGATTGCTTGTACAGTAGCGAGGTAGCAATTCAACTTCATTTTTATTTATGTTAATGTCCTTGAAAATAAGTGATACCGAGCTTTGTTTTATGGACTTACTGGCCATCTCTAGGTCTTCTTCGGTCTATACAGATCTTGCCTGTATCTTCTGATAGCCTTGTTATTTTTGTTGTTGATATTTATGAGCTATTTATATATCGTTCATAGTATCCTTTAATGTGTGTATATTTTCTGCCATTCATTGACGTCTTTTAATTTTTTTTTATCACTGTGCATGGCAGTCTCATGATCCTTTGTATTTCTGCAATACCTGTTGCAACTTCTATCATTTTGTTTTTTAACCTATTTACTAGGATTTTCTCTGTTCTTCATGAGCCTGTCTAAGGACCACCTTTATTAATGTGGCCTTTTAAAAATAATAAATAGGCAGACTGGGGGAGAGGGGCAGTGGGAGGGAAACTGGGGACATTGGCGCTGGGAAATGTCCACTGGGAACAGCTTTGTAAGGGACTATCTCATAGTGATTCAACTAGAAAAATTTAAATAATAATAATAAATAAATTCATACTGTAAAAAAAATGAATTCGTTTGAAGTCTACTAGAAAATTAGATACTAGGTGTTGGGTAACATTGCTTTGTCCTTCAAGAAGCTTAGGTTTTATCTGGTTACACCCACCACAGTGCTCCAGAGGCACTTCCACTTCCATTGTGTTTACATGTAAACATGTAAACAGTCTTTCCTATGCTCTCCTCCTCATCCAGTTAATCAGCTTTCCCCTTAATCAGACTTTGTTAATTTGTAAGATCAGTTTCCCAGAAATCTATGATTTTATATATGAGTGAAATATTGCCTTTTTCCTCTCCTTATGCCTTATGAATAGTTTACCTTAAAGTAATATCCTTTTTGTATAGATACAGGAAGACCGTTAACATTATGCTTTGTAATTTAGGATTTGATTGGCCTTGAATATTATTCACTCCCGGGCATCTTTCTCGACTTAAGCCTCAGTTGCCCATAGTTCCTAACACCCCAAAAGCAGGGTCCCGACGAGGGACTGAATGGACCCAGGGCAAGCAGTGAGCTACCCTGGCAGCGAAATGGGCCAGGCCAAAGTGCCACGATTCTTAACTATAAGTTAAGAGTTTGATCATAGACAAATGCTGTCATGATCCAAAGGTAACGACAAGACTAGGATCCTGCTAGGGGTGGGAAAGACTATCTGGCCTGAGCACCGTAGTCTGAGATCGAGATGGCCCTAGGAGAGCAATTCTATAAGTTTAAGATATTTCTTACTGTATCCATACAAAATGATTTATATTATATTCTTGTACGCTTGTCGGTCAAGGAGAGGAGAGGCACGCCCATGGAATTCTGCTCTAGGGTGGGTCCTCCTGCTAAGGAAGGATCTGTCCTAGGAGCGGTCTTCCCTGAGGCTAAGATTTCTATCCCTATTGATTGTGACCACACCTATGTGTAATTGTTCCCCCAATTCCTCAGAGAGAGAGGATTTAACTGTACTGTAGGAGTGAGACAGGGGCAGAAGAAGGAAGAAGAGAGTTCAGAGGGGGGCAGAAGGCAGAAGGAAGAAGAGAGTTCAGAGAGGAACAGAA